AGAATAGAATGTAGAATAGAATATAGAAAATAGAATGGAATAAGGAACGGAATAGAAAGAACAGAACAGAATTTAGAAGAGTAGAGTAGAATGACTGTAGAATAGAATAGGAATAGGAATAGAATAGATAGAATAGAATAGAGTAGAGTATTGGAATGAACAATATAATAGAATAGAAATTAGATTAGAACAGAACAGAACAGAGCAGAATAGAATAGAATAGAATAGAATAGAATTCTTTCTTGGCCAAGGGTGATTGGACCCACAAGGAATTTGTCTTGGTGCAAATGCTCTCAGTGTCCATAAAAGAAAAGATTCGTTCGTCAAGAGTCCAGAATCATCAGGTCCATCAGAGGGTACAAGAAGCCATCAACACATCCTAGGAAACTGTCTATATAAATCATAAGGATACAAGCCCCACCCACCCCCAAAATAAGCCCTAATTAAGACCCCACCCACTCCAGAGTGCACAGGTAAAATATGAAGCTCAGGTGGGGGGGGCGGGGGAACATTTATGGGGCTGAGTTGTCTCAGGTGGATTGTCCTGCCAGGTTGCCCACAGTGAGTTGTCCTTGACCCCCTGGAGGCCCCGCGAAAGGGGTCACCTTTGCGGACCCCCCGTGGAATCGGTCAGGGCTGCGGCTGTGCCCAAGGACGAAGGATTGGCCGCAGCAAAATCCAAGGGAAGGGTTGGGCAGCCTCCCAGGAGAGGACCCCGCCTCGGCTTTCCGCCCTGCGGGGTAGTCCTCGACATAGCGACCCCAAGGGACCCCGGGATTTACCTCGCCAAGTGAGAAATTCGCTCGATGGGGTTTATTGCCCCATCTTATGACCACCTCCTCGTCACGGTTGTTAAGCGGACCTTTGCCGTGGTTAACTTAGCACGACACGGTTGTTAGGCGAATCCGCCTTCCCCCGTTGATTTGGCTCGTCAAGATGGACGTGAATCACAGCCGTCATATATACGGGTCAGTTTCCAAGCATCTGAATTTTGATTGGACAGACACGGGGATGCTGCAACAACGGTCATAAGTGTGAAAAACGGTCCTCGGTCCCCTTGTCCCAGTGCCGTTGTAACTTTGAACAGTCACTAAATGAGCCGTTGTAAGTCGAGGACTTCCTGCAGCAGTTTTGATGGGCTGGGGGGGGGTCTTGATTCCAATAATTTTTTTCCCAATTTCCCCCCCCCCTTTGCCAGGGGAGCAGAACAGCTGGACCTGGTTGGCTTTCGGGCCTTGAATCACAACTGCTTGTTTAACGACCGCTTGACGTCACAAGTGACTTATGAGCGGTTTTCACACTTACGAACCCCACGGGGCCACATGATTGAAATCGGATCGCTTGGCAAGGGGTTCGCGTTTACGACGGCCGCCGTGTGACCCCTCCCCCCCTTTTGCAACCACCTGATGAGCATAGCCAATGGGGAAGCCGGATTCGCTCAAAACGCCCTCCCACCCCTCCCCCTCAGGGATTCGCCTCACCGCCACCAAAGAAGGTCGTAAAACGGGAGAGGACTCGCGGAGCAAAACGTCCTCGGCTTAGCGGTAGAAACTCTCAGCTCCGTTGCGGTCATTCAGCCGAGGACTTACCTGTACAGGTGGTAGTCCTCGACTTAACGACCAGAATGAAGCCCCAAAATTCCCGCTGCCAAGCCAAACAGTTGCTGAGCGAGCTTTGCCTCATTTTACGACCTTCCTTTTGCTGCAGTTGCTAAGCGAATTGCCGCAGTTGATCAATTAAGTCTGGTTGTTAAGTGAATGTGGCTTCTTCCCCCTTCAGAAGGTTGCAAAAGTCTCACACACACAGACACACAACTCTGCGACCGTCCGAAACACAAGCCAGTTGAAATACGATCACGTGACACACACACACACACACCCCGGGAATGCCACAGCCGCGGTCATAAGGGTGAATAGCGGTCACAAGTCCCTTATTTTTTTTTTCCCCCAACGCCGTGGCCACTTCAGACAGTCACTAAAGTGAGGACCTTGCTTGCGTTTGGTGCACGGCGGTCGGGGGACCAAACTTCCTTTTTCTTTATTTTTTTCTCCGATTCTATTTTTTTATATATTTATTTTGTCCTTGATAGGCATAACAGTTCTAATTATACAACGTCATTGTGTACTGGTTATTAAAAAAAAGAAAAATCCCCTTTTTTTCTCCCCTATCCTATTATATACATCCTAGTTACAACTGTCATACAGTCCGATCTCTTTTTGGCTACATCCGTGTTATGCATCCGGATTATAGAACGACTCCTTTTGCTTAATTCTACCATAATACATTCCGTTAAGCAGTTCTCGTCTCATTTCGTACTACGTTCACGTACAATTCAATCATAATATTTCTTAACATCGCTTATCCTGACGTACTTCCCTATCTCTGTATTTCTTTTTATTTCGTTGACCTTCTTTCATTTTGCGACCCCGATCTCTGCATCTGTTTATTTATCCAAATATCCAATATGTCCCATGTTATAACGGTAGCCCCCTTGATTCCACTTGGTCCTTGGGCTCCGTTGTAAGTCTGTCCAGTTCGGCACATTCGAATGTGTTGTTTTTTTTTATATTACCTCCTCCTCCATTGGAGTCCTTTCACTTTTACAGTTTTGTGCATATAAGATCCTAGCTGCAGTTATTATAAGTATGATTAAATATGTGAATCTTATTTTATATTCACACGCACGCACGCACGCACACACATGTATGTAGAAGAAGAAACAGACATCCTACGATCTCTGGAACTCAAAATTACATTTATTGTACTTACTAAGCTTTCATCAGCCTCTGCTGACATCTTCAAGAGTATTAAGCTACCATTACAAAGATCTCTGCCTTTATATATCATTAATCAATTTAGTCCTTGCACACTTAATAGGTCCTTCCAACTGCCTCCCACCTGTATTTAACTTTTTTGCTTCAGTCACGTTAGTCAAAGCAGGGTTATCTCTTGTTGGTTCCTCCCTTGTCATATAATTTATATCTATATCTCTATCATCTATCTATCTGTGTGTGTGTCTGTGTGTATATACCCGAACAAAGCTGAATGCCATACATGTAAGTACCCACAAAAACTTAAGAAAACATATATATATATGTATGTATGTATGTTAAGTTTTCGCGGGTACTTACATGTATGGCATTCAGCTTTGTTCGGGTATTTTCCCACGTCATTGTAGTTGTGCTTTTAAAGTTGTAGCTGCGTAGGAATTGGAGGTCACATAGTATTCCTGCTCTTTTAATTCCCAGTTTCTTGTAGGTTTTGATTTGGCTGTTTATTTCCTCCCCGTAGAGGTTTGATATTTGCTTTCTTAAGTACCCGCGAAAACTTAAGAAGATAGATAGATAGATAGATAGATAGATAGATAGATAGATGATATTATTATTATGATTATTATTATTATTTTCCCCGATTCTTCACCTGCTCCTTTTCCGCTTTCCCACTCAGGTATCTGGCAGAAAAAGTCCAGAGTCCTGCAATAAACCTGAGAAGATCTTGAAGAAAGGGACATATGACAAGGTACGTAACTCTGATGGGTTGGGGAGCGGGGGGGGGGCTTTCTATGGAGTCAAGGAGGGGGAATCAGAGACAGGTGGGCTCCTTTGCGGCTCACCTGTCTTGGACGGGGCGCTCTGGGCACGGGGGAGGGGGGGTGTCTCTTCGCCCTGGCAGCTTCTTCCCGGAGGCGGTCCTACCTGCCCATTGCTGATTGGCTGATGACCATGCCAGTCAATCTCCAAGCAAAGCAGGGTCGGTGAGGTGTCCGACCTGCGGGTGGGGTGTCCCCCCCCCCCCCGTTTCGCCGCAGCGCAGAAGCAGCCCGATGGAGCCTGTGGGAAAAGGGGAATGTCAGGATTCCGGCAGTTCCCCCGCTTTTAAATCCTGAGTCTCGAGACAAACTTCCAAAACTTAAAAAAAGATTTCTTGGGAGTTAACACGTCCGGCACTGCCTGGGTGGGGCCGACTCTGAAACATCATTCCCTGTCACCTTGACCTGGTTTTCCCCCCTGGGTGTATTGCTGAGGTAATTCCCCATTAGGAGAATGAGCGCATACAGGGAGACGTATTGGAGAGGAGCGTTTGAATAACACACACACACAGCACACAGATACACTGTACAGTAAATGTAGGTTTTTACTTCCAGAAAGGTTTAAGCAAAGTTCAAAATAAGCAGTCCAAAGTCATTCACAAGTAAATCAGTCAGTTTTCAATCCAGGGATAATCCAATAACAAAGTCCAGTGTCAAAAACAGTTCAGTATCAGACTTACACCAAATCCAGGAATACCAGTCAATTATGAGGAACGGCAATATTCTCCAACAGAAGGAAACAGAGACTGACTCACACTCTCTTCTGAGACTAAGACTAAAACTAAACAACCCAGGTTTCTGGCTCCATCTTATGGCCTGTTTGAGAAACCACACCCAATTTGCAGTTTTTAGCATCCTCTTAAAGATACAGCATTAAAATGTTTATCCTGGTTTATATATTGTCCAACCCAAATACCTGTTAGGTGACTTATATTCCTAACATGTATCATAATTCATATTCTCCAATGGGACACCTCCATAGCTCAGAGTCATCAATCAGGCTCTCCAATTAGAATGTTTCAGTGGCAGAAACTTCAGTCACCCAGTTACTATCTTTGAAAACACGCATGGAATGCACTTTTGATTTCCAAACTGCCGCACTGCTCCCCCCTCCCTTTCTGTTGGCAACTCTAAAAGGACCAGGGAAATATCTTACGAGTTGACAGAGAAACTGGGTGTGGCGAGCCAAAGAAATAACAGGGCGGTCCTCGGCTTAACGACAGCGTTGCTAAGCGGGTTCAATCCTTGGGTGAGCCGGGGCCCGATTTCCCAACCTTCCAATCCCTCGCGGCGGTTCAGCCAACGGCACGGTCGTTAAGCGAACCGTGCAGTCATTAAGCAAACCGTGCAGTCGTTAAATGAATATGACTCTTTCCCCCCAACCTCCACCTCCCAATATTCATTTTGCTTGTCAAATGTACATGGCCATTGTGTCACACATGCACACACACACACACACACCCCACTGCATCCATCATAAGTGTATGCTGGTTGCCGGGGTCCGAATTTTGATCCCATGACCCCAGGAAGTCCTGCAGTAGTCGTAAGCGAGAGGCCTGGTCGTAATTCCCTTTCCTAACTAACCTGCTCTTCTTTCCCCTCCCCCCCCCCACTTCCTCCTCCTCCCCGCCCGCCCGTCCAGGCCTACACGGACGAGTTGGTGGAGCTCCACCGGCGGCTGATGGCGTTACGAGAGCGCAACGTGCTACAGCAGGTGAGCGGGGTTTTCCGGCCAACACGAGGAAGGCAGGAAACCGTTTCTCGCCAAACTGGCGGTCTGGACGTGAGCCAGCCCTGTCAATCAGAGGAATTGGGAGGTGGGGGGGGGAAACTACATTGGAAAGGGTTTCCCGGCCCAGGGGTTGCAGGCTGGACCCCCCCCCTCATAAATACCCACCAGTTGCCGAAAAGCGCCTGAATTTGGATCGCCTGATCAGAACGGGGGATGCTGCGGCGATCCTAAATACAGATATAAGGAGGTGATTTGTAGCTCAGGGTTGAGCTGGGCTGTTCTCTCGCGGACGTCTCGTGACTCGAACTAGGGAACATCATCAGTGCTAGAAGGGAAGGGGGGTTTGTGGAGAGGAGGAGGAGGAGGCGGACACTGTGGGGGCCCTCGTTGCGCCTCTGAGCTTGTTTTCCTGCAGACATTTCATGACCTGACTAGGTAGGTAACCTCATCGGTGCTACTGATGATGATCCCGCCCTTCCTCCTCCTCCTCCTCTCCACAGACCCTGTTCTCTTCTAGCAGGGATGACGTTCCCTAGTTGGGTCGTGAAACGTCTGAAAGAGAACAGCCAAGCTCATTGAGGAGCCCTCAGTTCTCCTCCTCCTCCCCTCAAACCCTGCTCCCTCCTAGTACTGATGATATTCCCTACTTGGGTCATGAAACATCTGCGGGAAAACAAGCCAGCTCAACAAGCATCATAGGCCCTACAGTCCTTCTCCTCTTCCTCCTCCTCCTCCTCCTCCCAAATCCTCCTCCCTCATACTACTGATGATGTTACCAGTCAGGTCATAAAAGGTCTGCAAGAATGGTTTTCTTGCAAGCTCAGAGATCACCAAGGACCCCATAGTCCTCCTCCTCCACCACCCTACAAACCCCGCTCCCTCCTAGTACCGATGATAGCAGTAGCCCTCAGACTTGTACACTGCTTTATAGTCCTTTACAGTCCTGTCTAAGCGGTTTACGGAGTCAGCCTCTTGCCCCTCCCTCCCTCCCTTCTTAGCACTTAAGACTTATATACCGCTTCACGGTGCTTTCCAGCCCTCTCTAAGCAGTTGATTAAGAGTCAGCCTCTTGCTCCCCCAACGATTTTGCGTCCTCGTTGTACCCACCTCGGCAGGAGGGGAAGGCTGAGTCCCCCTGGCGCCTGGTGGGATTCGAACTGCCCAAATTGTAGGCAGCGGGCTGCAGCAGCAGTCGCCTGCAGGACTGCCCTCTGAAGCACTGCGCCACAGGGGCTCCTTAATGATGTTCCCTAGTCGGGTCGCCAAACGTCGGCAAGTAAACTGCCAAGCTCCGAGAGCGCGCGAGCGTCCCTCCCCCATCCTCCTTAAAGCGCGGACAAATCCTTCTCGAGTCAGCTTGATATCACTTGGGACGGTCGCTAGACGAACGGGTGGGGCCGAGCCAGGGCCACCCCCTGGATGTGTCTGTGAGGGGGGGTGGGGCGGGGAGGAGAGTCTTAACCCGCGGTGCCCTCCTCCTTCCTCCCTCCCAGATCGTGAACCTCATTGAAGAGACGGGCCACTTCAACGTCACCAACACCACCTTCGACTTCGACCTCTTCTCCTTGGACGAGACCACCGTCCGCAAGTTGCAGAGCTACCTGGAGGCGGTAGCCACGTGACCCTCGGCCTCGGGAGCCGGACCCACCCGCTTCTCTTCGGTCTCTCTGGGATGAGGAAAAGGGGAACCCACCCCCTCCCCGGACTACGGCCGCTGCCTTACTCTCTCCTTCCCCCCCCCCCCCCCCCCCCCCAAAGCACTGCCTTAGGGATCAGCCACGCACTAGGAAGGCCGTGCCGCTTCCCCTTTCGGGCTTCAGCTGAGCGTCTGCCTCTGGCCACCCTTCTCTTGCCTCGGCCAGCCCCCCCACACACACACCTCCCACCCACCCCCACACCCCTTTTGCTCCAATGCCTGCATGGAACCATTTCGAGCGGAAGCAGGATTCGATCCCAGCTGGTCTCCGTCATCTTGGATTTGATCCCAGTTGGTCTCTGTCGTCTTCAAGTTCCAGTCTGGCCATTTTAGAGCAAGACACTTTTGGGTGGGGTGTGTCATTTTAAGATATATATATATAGATAGATAGATATATAAATATATATATATATATATATACATACACACACACACACACTTGGGGGGGGGGGGTCATCCCCTTTGGCCTGGAATGGACGCGGCTCTTATTTCCGTTGGACCTGCAGCCACTTCCCCCCCCCAAGGCGGAGGGGGGGGTTGTGTGTGGATTTGTGGGTCTGAGACTGGGCCGGCACCTGCCCTCCACGGCCACCGCCAGCCTTCCTCCGTTCTCGGCGGCCGGAGACTTCCGCCCTGCCAGCTGGCTGTGGGTCACGGGGGCAGCTTGGTGCTGCAGGCCGGCGACTCCGCTGGATGTGTCCAGTGCGGTGAGCTCGGACCAGGCACCGTCTGGCGTGCTGAGACTCTCCGGCAAAAGAATTCCAGCCCTCGGGTGGCCGAAGACGCTTCCCTCGGAAGTCTTTGCGGCGCCGCGGTTCTTGATTCCCGGCCCGTTCCATGTTTCCGATCGGCTCGGACCACAAGGACTGACCTTCATCGTACGCTGTCTTGTTTTCCACACATACCTACAGATAACGTGGTCGCTATCTGTGCGTATGTACCTATATGTATTTACGGTGTAAAAAAATAAGGGGGGGGGAGGAGGGCCTCATCGGGCCTTTAAGGTCTCAAAAGAGGGTTTTTTGGGGGGGGCACGTTTAAGGCTTTTTTAAGATTTCTTTTTTTAAAAAAAAAATGGGAAAAAAAAGAGGAAAGGGTGAAAAATAGGGTTTTGTGCGATCCGTCGGTTTGTTCGAAAGGGGGCGGTACTTTTAGCGTTGTAGAAGCGAGGGGGGGAGTTTGGGCCAAGGGTGCCTGCGGTGGCCATTTTGTGCTGAGCAACAGACTCCCGCTCCGCGCTGTGTTTGTTGGTTTGTTCGTTTTTCCATTCGCCATCAGTGTTCAAGGAACGGAATTTATTATTATTAATATTTTTATTTTTTGGCCAAAATTGCCCTCCTGCCCTGCGCGTGTTGGTTGAGAGGAACCTCGTCGGCTCCGGGTTTGCGCGACCAGTTTGGAGCGAAAGAGGCGGCCGGTCCTGGAAACGTATATTCCTTTCTCCCTTTCCCTTCCTTCCTTTTGAAAGAGCTCCTTTGGCGATTCCCGAAAGTTTGTGAAAACGGACTCTGGTCTTCTTGGACTACCTTTGGGAATATTTGTTAATATTCCTCGCTCGGCTAGCCTCGGCGGGACATACGGAGCGTTTTCAGGCAAGGCGTGCCCTAAAATCATGAATATATATATATATAGAGAGAGAGAGAGAGACAGAGACAGGAGTCCCTCCTCCTCTCCCCTATTTAGCATTAGAGAGGCCAGGATGTTTTGTGCGATCCTGTACCTGCCTTGTGGGAATAAAGCCCCCTTCCCCTCTTTCCCCGGAGGGAGGGGAGGCAGGGGGCGCAGGAACGCCCACCTTCTGCCAACGGCTACCTGCCTGGGCCCCAGGGCAGAAAAAAACGAGGCTAATATTTTATATTTCGCCCTTTTCTCCCGTCGCTTCCCCCCAAAAGTCTTGACGTGGCAATAACCCGATCCGAGTGAGGTCATGTTGACCCTGAACCCCGTTCCGAGGTGACCCCTTTTGGTGTTTGTGCGTGGGTGTACGGGGTTTGTTTTGTTTGGCCGTCCTTCTGTGTACACACATCCGCCGTTTGCAAATGCTTCCGTGATGTCAGGTTGCGGGTGGAGGCGCCCTGACTTTTTGGGCAATGCCTGAAGCCCCTGTGTGTGTGTGGGGGGGCCGTTCCCAATCGTTGGCCAGCGGTACAAATGCTGCCGGGGCCAAGCGGCAAAGAAACCAAACCCAGCAGAGGCCCGCGCCGCTTTCTCGGGTGGTGGGGGGGCATCCCCTGCGTTTGCGACGCTCTGCTTGGCGAGCAAGCCAGTCCTCCCTGGGCAGATCTGCGCATGGCCCCCCCCCTGTAAAAATGGGGTCCCTCCCCCCAAGCAAGGGCTGATTTCACCCCACTCCTTGCCAATGGGTCACAATCCCCCTTGTGGCTTTGAAGCTGCTTGGAAAGGACTCCCTGGGCTTCCAGAGGCCCTTGGCTGGAGTGGGGTGAAGAGGGGGGGGAGGGGGCCCCCCTCCCGAATTAATGCTCTTGACGTCCCTGCTGTGAAGGGGAGGGGGGGCGGTCTCTTCCACTGGAAGGACCCCTTTGGAGGAGGCGGCGGGGGCAGCGTTGGTATTTGTAGGGAGTGTCCTTCAACTCCCCAAATTAGCCTCTCTATCCCGCCACTTCGCTGCCCCCAAGATTGGCTGGCTGGCCAGAGGTCTGTCTCTTCCTTCCCCCCCCCCCCCCCCCCCCCCCCCCCCCCCCCCGCGTGAGGGGGTGACTCTCTCCTTGGGCAGGGCTGTGTTTGTGGGGTGTGATGTGATTGTCTCGTGCATCCTCTCCTCTGCCCCTTTTGGGGGGGGGGGCTTTGCCCTGCTTTTAGCACCCGCTTCCTCGCGTGGGTCCGACGCTCGGGCGTGGGAAAATTCAAAACTCCGAGAGAGTTGGGGTTTACAGGAGGTGAATTTAGCCTACTGGAAGGGGGGGGGGAAGAAAAACGAAACCATGGAAAGTCCTCCCCCCCCCCAAAAAAGGTGACAATTTGGGTGAAATTTTGGAAAGTTTCTGGGAAGGAGGCGGCCTTCGAATAAGGCGCGGAAGTTTTGGAAAAAAACAAACCAACCGCTGTGTTATTTTTATTTTATTTTATTTTTCCTCCCTCCCGTCTGGTTCCCGTTTGGCCTTCCTCGTTTTTGTTTTCAGAAGGAAATTTCGGGTATTCCTTCCCGATTGGGTTGAGCGCGGAGAGGGGGCCAACCAGCCACCTTCCCAACCCATTTTTAATTTTGACTTTGAAGGCGGGTGGGGCTTCCAACTCCCATGCTGGCTGGGGAAACGGGGGCAGTTGGACGTTCACCTGCCTTAAAAGTTTGCCGCGTCCGGGGCAGCCCTGACCCAGGCCGTTCACTTCCCCTGCTGGTTTTTGACTGGTCTGGAGGCCATTAAGCGAAGCCATGCCAGGATCCTTGGGGGGGGGGGGACACAACTTCTCAGTGCTTCCAGGGACTTAATGCGAGGGGTGGCCCATCTCCCGAACACATCGGGGGCATTTCATTGTAGGGGGGACAGGTGAGCTTCTCTGCTTTGGCTCGGCCGACCTCGGCGATCGGCTTTGCGAACGTGGGCTTGGCCGGCTTTCGTCTCTTCTTCTTCTTCTTCTTCTTTCTTTTTTTTGTTTTTGGGGCCCGCGGCCGAAATAAATAATTGACAGGCTCGCTGATTTCCACGGACAACTTGACCTCGGGCACAAACTTCTTATTATTTTATTTAATTTTTTTAGCTGAGCGTCTCTCTTTCTGACGGCCGCTTGGAAGCTTTGTCGATGTGCCAGAACGCAGTGTTTTGCAAAGAGTGCTGGGTTTTTCTTCCTCTGTTTCCCTTTCGGTCCCAGGTTTTTGGTTTTTTTTGCAGGTAGAAACACACACACACACACACACACACACACACTGTGTCCAGAAATGTGGACGGCTGCCGTTTGCACTCAAAAGTGAAGGTTTCCCCAATTCAGAGCCGTTTCAGCTCGGGGAAAAGAAAGGGGGGTCTTAATTTGCCCACGGGCCGTTCTTGTGGGACCCCCCCTCCATGGAAGGGGCTTGTCTCCAAAGCCCCACCCCCCCCTTATTTTCCCCCCTCCCCATTATTTGACACACACCCCAAAACAATCCCCCCAAACACGAGGGTCCTTCCCCGCCTGTCCCTCCCTTTCGCAGCCTGTTTTCGCAGAGCAGGAAGTGTTAAAAGTCAGGCGTGTCC